AACATATATTACATTAATGATTTTATGAATTTTATGATCAACTATCTCTTCTAAATTTTAGATTTAATCTTTTAATAATAATTTATAAATACTTTTAAGAATATTAAATATTTGAATAATAATAATAATAATAATAATTTCTAATAATTTTAATTCATTCCTCATTATATTTTCTAATTTAAATTTCTTTAGAATTATAATCCCAAGTCATCAAATATTATCCATCTTCACTTATCTATCCATATATACCATTATGTCCAAATTGAATAGATTATTATGTTATAAAATCAGCATTTTGGTTCTTCCTTATCAAATTAACATTTTATCCATTCTTATTCACAAGTAAGCATTTCGACTTTATATATTACTAAGGAAAGTAATAATCACATCCATTATGATCACTTTTGACAACAATTTCTTTTGTCTTTGTATATTATTAATTAGTATTATTGATTTCATAATAATACATCTAATCTTTAAGTCTAGGTTGAAATGTGAATACATTATCATTGATGAAGCATATTCGATAACCATATTCTTCAACTGTTATCTTTTATATAACATTCCATTTTTAATCCTATAATGACTCTTCTATTACTAATATAAACATATCATATCCACAAGATATCACTCTATTCTATTTCTCATTCAAACTTAATCCTACTACATAATTTGTATGATCTGTTATAGTTTATGAACATTTCCATTGATTCTGTTTTCTCCAAAATTTAATTGTTTTATCATCACTTCCTGAAACAATGAGATCTTCATTATTGTTCAATAATAAACAATTAACTTCAGAGTTATGTTCATTCAATTTTTATGAACAGATCCATTAATTATTTTAATCCATAGACCATATAATTATCTATTTATCTTTACTACCAGATATAAATTGAGTGGATTTCTTCATTAAATTTAAAGTAGTAACTCTATTTTAATGTTCAGTTAGAATTTGAATTTGTTTCAATTATTCTTATTTAAATTCAAATACTTTAATCTAATTCTTACAAGCTGCTAATACAATTGAATTATCTTAATTAATAGCAATTGCTCTACAATATTCAGTTTATTAAATTGAATGATTCTATATTAGATTATAAGTGAATGGTTTAAAATTTAATTAATTATGATTATGTTAATTAATATGTTTTGTATTTGATTATTGATTTAATTAAAATGATTTATTAATAGTTAATTTAACAATAGATTAGACTTCTTGAATTAATTAAGTAGTAAATTAAAGAATGGAAGGGAATTATATTTAATCAAATTTTGGAATATTATTAATATTTTTATTAGGAATAGATGATTAAGGTTAAGGATCAAAAGCAATTTAATCAAGAAAAGTATCAATTCTATTGAAAGACAACTATATAAATGACAATTAATATCTTACATCTAAATATTATTAAAATCCTTAAACACATTCTTCTACTTTATTTTCATATTAACCAACAATCAATTATTTATTCATTAAATTTATTATTAACATTTCATTTCATTTCATTTCTCTATTTCTATTAAAAAATTTATATATTTATTAGATTTAATTAACATACAAATATTATTAAATTTAATCATTAATTACATCAGTTTGATATGAAATATCACACAAAACTCAAAACCCAGCTTTTTAAAAGTTTTTTATTAATAGTAATAATATAACTTTTCAAATTTTTAACAGAATAACAACCATTATTATTTAGTAAATTGGATCAAGTGAATGTATTTTGGAGTTACTT